ATTGTCTCCATGTACCACAACAAATCTTTGTGTTTCTTGTCTTCTCTGATTGCGTGTGGATCGATGACCGGGTCTGTGTGAATTTTCCCTGGTATTCCCCTTACCTTTTTGGCTCCCACTGTGTGCCATCTGTTGTCTGAAGGAGGGAACACGTCGGGTTGCTTTGTTGTTGGGTTGGAGTTGTTGTACGTCCATATCCATTTTGGATTTTGGATGGTATCGTCAAAGACCCACCCATTGTAGTCGTGGTCGTTGGTAAATCAGATGCCCTTTGCTTCTTCCAATTCCACCATCATGCTCTGTTTCAGCTTTTTTTCTTTTGAATGTTCAGGGGACCGTGGACAAGATGGGTTAGTGCCCAGGTGACCTCTTTCACTACACCTGAAACAGATGGGGCGTCTTTTGTTGAAACTGTGCCTATGGATACTTCGTCACTAATGCAGAATTCCCATTCTTTCGGGAATTCGGGGTTCGTCGCGGAGTTCACTTCCATAACTGCAGTGATGGGGTCGCAATGAGGGGCCAGGAATTCTGGTGTTGGGAGGACCCATTTCAGCACTTTGTTGTTTGGATACTCTACCTCCAATCACTCTTTGATCAGCGGATGACTTCTGATGGGGATGTTATCACACTGGACCCAAAATTGGTCCCTCATGAGTCGCTGTTTCTGTGCTGCTGCCGACGAAATTGTGGCTTTCTGATCGTTTTGAGTTTCCACCGGGACAGGGTGCAAACTGAGTCGTTGCAGTTCAGCGTGGTGTGCTTGTTTATCAGGTTGGATGTTTGATTGGGATCTTTGAAAACCACCATCGTCATGTTCTTACTCAATACTAAAATTGAGAATTTGTCTGTGCTGGTCTTGATGTTTTCATGACCCTGGATTGTCTTTGTGAGCCATTTCCTCTCCTCAATTGTTGGGAGTCGGGCGCCTGTGTTGGAGAAGGTGAACACCAGGCCATGTTTGGCGTATAGTGCATTGGTTGAGGCGACTTTTTCTTTCGGGTAGCACCATACCGTTACTTCTTTCTCTTCCCCATTGTGCTGGATCTTCTTTGTGGTTTTCTCTCCTTTGATTTGTGGGGATTCCAGCAGGAATCGGAGTGTCTCGTGGTCGACGAGGGGTCCGCTCGACTGTGTTGGGGTCTTGCCTGCATTTTGTGATTTGGCCGCTACGACTGAGGCGAAGCGGGGCGTTGGAAGGTCTCTGTCGTGGCTATGTTGGCCAGAGGCTGTAACGGTCGGGTGCGGTCAGGGTGGGAGGGGGGGGGGGGGGGGGGGGGGTTGGGTGCTGTTGATGGTGTTGACAAATGTCTTTGGTTGTTCTTCAAGGGGAGGGAGTTGGTATGGGGGTTGGAGGGTCTGGTCGGGGGCTGTCGGGTGGGGGGTCCTGTGTTTTGTGGCTGAGTCCTTTCTTACCCCCCCTCCTCCCTTTTTCTCTTGCCCTATCAGACTATGATGTTGTGTGTGAATCTCCTATCTTCTGCTTCCAATTAGCCCTTGTTCTGGGGCATGTGTTCGTGGGGAGTTCAGGGTGGCTGCAGCTTCTCATAGCTGGTCTGCCTGGAAAGTTGGGCTGCATGCATGGGCATATGCGGGTATGCCCAGTGCAAGAATCAGGTTAGGTTAGTGTAGGGCTATGTATCACCCGCGGCGGCGGTCGTGGGGTCAAACTTGGCGGGCGGCCACGTGTGTGGCCGCTGCCGCGGACGGCGGCCCCGAAGTCGCGGCCATGTTTTACGGATTATTCCCCAACGAAATAAAACATAAAAAAAAGGGGGTCGTAGGGTTTTTCGAACCCTACAACCCCATTTTTTTCTCCTCCGAATTGCATATTCTTTGGTATTAAAAATAAATAAAAATAAAAAACTGCGAAAAAAAGAATTCTTTGGTATTTATTTTCTTCTTTTTGGTTGTGTGCGTTGGGGGGGGGGAGGTAACCCCGCTCCCACTAATCAATAAATCAATCAATCAGTCGAAAAAAAAACTGCGTGAGTGTGTGTGTGTGTGTGTGTGTGTGTGCGGGGTGGGGGGGGAGGGAGGGCGACCCCCCTCCCACCAATCAATTAAGAAATTTAAGATTCTTTTTTTTTCTTTTGAAAATTCATTTTTACCCCCAACCCACCCCCTCCCGAAATTCGTTTGTTTTTATTTTTTTACTGCGAGGGGGTGGGGTTGGGGTTGCGCAACCCCAATCGACCTCCCCCCCCTCCCCTGGCCGCCATGCGGCCGCAAAGTGGCATGGTCGTGCGCCCATGGCCGCAGGGTCGCGGCCTTGGCCAACCCACCCCCTCCCGAAATTCGTTTTTTTTATTTTTTTTCCACGAGGGTTTGGTGTTGGGGTTACACAACCTCAATCAACCTCCAAACCCCCCGGCCCCCCACCCCCACTGGCCGCCACGCGGCCTTGGCCGCACATGGCTGCCTCCAGCGGGATTCGTAGGTGTAGGGCGGTGGCCGGGGGGGGGTGGGTGTTATTGGAGGGTGAGGGATTAAGGGGTGTGTTGGGTGAAGAACGCGCTTGGGTATGTGGGCCCCTGGGTGAGGGAAAAAGGGGCCAGATTGCAGTGGTTTGTCGGACGAGGGAGATCGACCGGCTCTCGTTGGTGGAACGTGCTCGGATGTTGGAAGGGGGGGAGAGTGTATGAAGCTGACTGGGGGATATGGGTCGGAGAAGTACTTACTGCGGTGACGAGTGGATGGACCTCGAGAGAGGGGGAGTGTTAGTAACGTATTTGCTAAGCGGTTGGGGAGAAGGGAGGTGACAGCGAGGGAGGGGATGTGATAGGGGAGGAGGGGGAAGAGGAGAGGTGGACGTATTGCTCGTTGCGATATCGGTGATTGCGCCGGGGTAGGAGCTTGAACAGAGTGTCGCAAGATTGGGGGGGGGGTGTCCGGTGAGGGAGAGTGCAGGTTTGGGGTTGATGGCGCTGGGGGTAGTAAGATGGGGTAGCAAAGGATAGAGTGGGTTGAAGGTGTGTCGTGGTTGTTGGGGATGGAGCGGGGGGCTGGAAGTGAGAGAGACGGGGTGGGGTTGGGGGCTGAAGATTGGGGGTGTGAGCGTAAAATAGGGGTGGGACTGCTGCGTGGGGAGAAGGTGACTGATGTGCTGCGGGGTTGTGTCGGGAGTGTTGGAGGAAGCAGAGAGGGGGGGGGGCCAAAGATTGATGTCCTTAGGAGCGAGGTGGGATGTCTGGTTTAGTTTAGGGAGGGAGTGTGTGGTGCACTCGGGAGGGGGGATTCAGGAGAGACACATTAGTCGTGGGCAGGAAGATAGCATGGAGGGGTGCGATGGCGGACTTCTCACTGAGCTGTTAATGATTGATGTCTGGAGTCTATCTCTGCAGTTGGATGTCGTAGGGAGAATGTGGTTCCTCGCCTGAGTCTTGATGCCTTTGCAGAGTGTAGTTTGTTATCTTGCGGAGGCGGAATTCGGATTGGGAGCACCTTCAGTCTTTCGGCGATTGGTGGCACGTCGATCTATGGCTGGATGGTTGTTGCAGCTCGTCTCTGTGGAGCTGTTGCTGTTGCCAGTTTCGACCTTCGACCGGCTTCTACGTGGGATGTTCGGAGCAGCTTCGAGGAGGACCGCTGTGGCCAGCTTCCCTCTTTTTGCGATTGCGCGTGCACTGGGGGCGCGCTCGGGCGTGGCTTCTTCGAGCCCTCGGGGCGATGGCGACCGCCCGGCTTCAAAAATTTGAAGTTGGGCATGCGCGGCACGCGGGCGGCTGGGCGGGAGGGTGGCGGCGGGTTTCGGTTGGCGTCAGCTCGTCAGGCCTAGGCTGGGCGCTAGCGCACCTTAGCGCAGCGCTGGAAATCGCGCTAACCGATGGCGTGGGCCGGCTGTGGCTGGTTTGTGACATACTCGATTTGAAAATTTTCTTCAGGAGAAAATCAGGTACCAGGGGGTGGCAAGATGGGTTTCTCGATTGTTATGAAGCACACATATGAGGGTGTCTTACACTCATGCCTTAAATACATGAATTTGAAATTTTGCACCACCAGTCCCAGGGGGAACATCCTAAGGTGAGGCTGTATAAACGAAGGCTGCGCTTTCCATGTACCGGCCTGCCTGCTGCTTGTTTGTGACATCCTTGATTGTAAAATTTTCTGCAGGAGAAAATCAGGCATCTGGGTGTGTTGGTTAAAATGCATGTACGATTTAATCCACCAACAGGGTTTTCGAGTTTTAAGTGAGGCTACCTACACGGGCTGTGCCCAGTGGGGTTATGGAAGGCCTGGACAAGGTGCTGTGCGTTCTCCACACAAAACCAGCAAATTTTGAAAACTGGACAATGGAAGTTGTTGTGCCCATACTTTTTTCCTCCATTGAAACCCTATGTCTACCCCCAACACCCCCATGTCAACTACTTGCAAATTAAAAGATATAAGGCCGGATTTCAACCATGCTGCCTAGCACGGGCGCTTTTGGTTTTTCTCTTCTTTGAAACTCTTGACTCACTTTTGGCCACCTGGTTTTCCCAGGTGAGGTCCGACCTGCACTGTCCCATCTGCCGGCCCGTGCATACGCGGCTGGGTGAGTCTGGTAGTTATAAGAAATAAATGTCTCACAAGTATCTTAATCCAGGATTAAAATGCCCACATTGCTCTGTCTTCCTTCTTGACAAGGTGCTTCCCTTCTCTTTTGTAATTCCCATCCGCTTTCCCCCAACCCCCAGCCCTCTTTTGCAGTCTCACATGGCGTCTATGAGGCAAACTACCCCATATTCCTCTCCCAGGTGACTGCATTTCTGGTCCCTTCCAAGGTTCCTGTCTACCTCATCCTTTCCAGGGTCAGCCATTCCTGTTTCTCCCCCCTTACTGGATTTATATCTGTGACCCATGACATCCCCTGCAACCCTCCACTTTCCCCTCCCGTTCCTATTTGGATCTTCTGTCAATTGTGTGAGTCGTCCTTGTGCGGGGCCATGAAGGACATCTGTTAAAATATGGATCTGCATCTAACTGGGGTATTTAACCCAGCTTTTAATTTCCCTTTGCAGGCGGCTTGGTGACAACCAGGTGAATGGAACGATTCCCCCATCACTCGGACATCCTGCACAAGCCTCGCTCAGAGTGATGTAAGTGGAGCTGACCTGATCCCCTGCTATACTGTGAAGTACTGTTTTGTGCGTGCTGCAATAACTCGGCTCAAATCTGCATAAGCTGTCGGCTCTAGGTCGTCACTTTTGGTAAAAGGCCCAAAACAGGGGTCAAAAGTCACACCCTAAGTCTAAGAAAAGCCTGGGCAAAGGCCTAAGGCCAGGGGGTACCCAGGGCAGGGCCAAAACCAGCATTCAAAGGCCCTACGAGGAACAGTTGACTTTGAGAACGTCAACGGTCAACCCCAGCAGGGGAATCCAGGTCCAGAGGTCAGAGTCAACCTGCTGGTCAGCCACGGCCATAGATCAGATGCACATCATTGGTTGTCTGCAGGTATCCAGAAGAATCCGGCCAAGTGGGACAAGTGGGAAATCTGCAACTGTGCAGCATCCAGGCCACTGGCTTCCGATTGATCTGGCCCGTCGACCCCAGGAGACCAGAGGCTGGTCAACGTGAGGCAACATTATAAGTTGACCCAGCCGCTGCTTGAAGATCTTTCCGCCTTGCGCTGGCTTTTTGCTGGTGCGACGATGCAAGGCTGCTGGAGCTGTATGCTGGCACCAGATTCTGAGTGTGGGCGCCAGCCTTGAGGGAGAATATGTTGTCATGGCCATAGCCACATAGATCTGAACATTCATAGGGGAGTGGGCGAGGAGGAGGATCTGGACTGAGATTGGTGCGTGTGATGAGGGGAAGCCTACCTGGACTTACTGTGATGTTGTGTGTGATATGCTGATCGTCTCCAAGTGGATGAAGAAAATATGCGCCATCCTCCATAATTGCTGCTGACGTGGATGGAGGATTGGCGCCCTGTTGTGACCTGCTCATTGTGTATGTCAGAGATCGTCAGAGGAGAACTCCGTTGCTGAGGTGGCAAGAGAGGGAGATGCCTGAGGAGGAAGTGGGCTTGAGGAGGGACTACTGCTTTGTTGATTCTTGTGAGAACTCTCCTCCTCCTCTCAGTCTCTTCTCCCCCTTTCCTCACTCTCGTCTCTGAAGTTCGAGACATTGGGAGATTACATGTACGTCGGGCATGGTTTCATAAACGATTTTTGGAGACATTAATGCTGCACTGAGTCAAACTTGTATCTCGACATTCATGAGCTTCTCATCTGTCTGGGTTCATCGCAATGCCCATTCATCAGTGCTCAAAACTAGACAAGGCCATACTCACAGTACTACTTGAATGATATCGTTTTTGAGGTTAGGCCTGTGACATCGTTTTGCCTTAAACCGTCACTATGTCCAACTCCGAGCGTCTTTTTGACGAGGCAGATTTGTGCCAAGCTCGGCAGGAGCACCAGCGCGGCATTTCTTTCCCTTTTGGCTGCCCCTGTGTGGCATTCTGAGTTCCACACGGCCCCCACCGGGCCCGACCAGGTACGGCTAGGGGTTGGTTAGGGGGCATTTAGGTGTAGGTAGCCCCTGTGTCGTTTCAGCCCAGTTTCGGGCCTGTAGGTCTGTACGCCCAGTTAGGCCAGGTTAGGAGGACAGGCCCTGGCGCACGTTTTGGCGCCGGACCCCAGGATTCAATTCCAGGCACTCCTGAGGCTGGACCAGCACTACTTATAGCTGGTCGGCCTCAGTTTCAGCAGGCATTCATGGAGGTACTCCGTAGCGGTAGCTGTAGTCGACAATAGGATAGCGGTAGTCTTCCAGAGCTGGGCGCTGTGTTAAGACTTTGGCCACGAGCTAGCGCTGCAGCCTACTGCAGCGGAGGTTGGAGGGAGACTGGCTATGGCGGAGGCCAGGGAGACTCACCTGACGACTTACCTGCGATGCCATCAGTCCAGCTTCGTCTTCAGCTGGTCCATACCTGCATCAAGGCAGCACCTTTTCGCAGGTTAGTGCCTGGTATACACACACACACACACACACACACACACACACACAGACACAGAGAGAGACACAGAGAGAGAGAGAGAGAGAGAGAGAGAGAGAGAGAGAGA